CTGAAAGGAAAAGAAAAGCAGGAGAAAAACAGCAGTGCAGCTCTCTAAGGTGTTGTTTCGACAGATAAGCTCCTGCACCTTGACAATTCCAAACTATTGTATTCATATTCTCTTACTGGGTGGTTTCTGGGACACCACCGAACCTGAAACAGAAAATATTTTCTTGCTTATAGCAGAAGTAGTCACCTCATTTTGAGGGAAGAGGGAAATATCAGGATGTTTTGAAGGCTTACCCCTCCCCGGTTTCTTTCGCGGTGATGGGTTACCTCTCAGGGATTTCAGCTTGCGTGATGCATTCATCCCCATGCCCACTCCAGCTCCATCAGTCGTCTTGTACGTCTTCTTTTTTGTACTTGCCCCCGCAAGAGCCTTCTTAACTGGGGCCTCGATCGCCTTTACCTTTTGGGTGGTTGCGCCATTCTCTTTATAGTTGCCCCTCTGTTTTTTGATGTTTTTGATGTCCCGTCCTCTTGGGATCCTACCTTCTCCATCCGAAATCGGAGATAGTTGTGAGATAGCTTCAATCTGTTCTGCGTCCGAGTCAATTTCTTCCCCCAGCAGGTCATCGTTCTCCATTATATCTGCGATCATCTCCTCCGACAGCTGCTCATCCATGTGTAGTTGTTCTAGTTCTTTGACGTGGTTTTCAATATCGAAGCTCTCTTTTTCTGTAAGTGGGATGCCGTCATCTTCCTCCAAATCCACATCCTCCCCCCCCAAGGAACGTTCTCATCTTTCTGTTCCAGCTGGGAGTCCTCCTGTTCCACTCTGCTTAGACGTTTAGCCTGCCGGTTAGAGGTTGGCGTAGGCGCATCTTGAGCCTCTCGGATAATCAAGTTCCCATCTTGGTTATTTAATCGTCGATTTATTGCAGTGAATTCTATTCTCTCGCTCGACAGATGCCATTGTGGCTTTTCCCTTTATCCTTCGCATGCGCTCCTCCTCTGTTTCATTTTGGTAGACCACTAAGAGCCCCTTACCGGTTGTGTCAGCGACCCTTTCGAAAAATGTTCTCTGTGAGTCTGTTGGAGCTCGGCTCTCGTTCATTGTGGTCCTGACTGCTTTTGCAGGAGGCTCTGTCATCACTTGTTTATCGGTCTGAATAGCTTGCCGGGGTCTCCACTCAAGCCGAGAGTGATAATCCTCCTTCCTGAAAATCTCATATTTCCCTCGTTTTAGTCTTCCTTCATACTTTGTCTCGGGGAACTGATGGTATCTCTCACGTTTACGTGGGTCTGGGGCGTTATGACGATCCTCCAGGCGGTTCCAAACCTGACGCCTCTCTTTTAGTTCCATTCTTATGTCTCTGTCCCGACCATTCCCTGGTGCTCTTCCTGCATCCGAGCTATACCTTGCCACTTTTCTTGAGTAAGATTTGGGTTAATACCGAAGGAAGAATTGACGCCTTGCTGAACATGCTACCTCGTTTTAGTCTCCACTTTGACGCCTTACCGATGGCTTTAAACGTCAGATCATTCCACAGGTGTACTGGAACCCCCAAAACCTTAACCCAAAAAGGCATTGAGTTTGGGAAGGTTTCACTTGTAGATGGCTCCCATCTTTCAAGGGAGAAGTGCCAGCGGTTAAAATGACACGGTCTTTTCTGCAGAACGTTGAGGAGGTCATCTTCTTTCTCAAAGGTGAATTGGAACCGTCCTCGTCCCAAGTTCATACCACGGACCCGGCCTTCTACATTCCAGATACGCGATCTTGGTAGCATGTTCAGCAAGGCGTCAATTCTTCCTTCGGTATGGAACATCCTACCAATGAGTGTCAGTTTGAATCGTTCGACCACTTCCTTGAGATCACACTCCGGGATTCTTATTATCTCATCATCCAAGTCAAGGCGTCTCCGAACCTGTGATGTGTTACCCTTCTCTCTAATCTGGCCAGATCCAGAACTCATTCTTCCAACAGCAAGGTTAATACTCGGGAGCTCCCGGAAAAAGGATGAGTTGCACTTTCACCGTGTGACGTGCACAGAGACTAAATACCGTAGCACACGCTAGAGTTTATGCTTGACAGAGGGATTCCAGATTGTATAATGATTCAGAACCTTATTCTAGCGAGATCGAGTCAAAGCACACGAGCATACAAGGGGTACTAAAGTGTTCCGGATCCAGATCACAGAAGAAAGTTCCACAGCATTCACACGAGAACCAAGATGAAAAGACGGTAACCTTACCTCTGCTGGTTTCAAGATCTGTTGGAAAGCTTCGGGATCCGCCGTTACGTGCAGGAAGGGTTATTGATTTGAGAGTCGCCCTATTTTTCGCCTAAACCCTAGCAGCACCCCCATCTTTGCGCATTTCAAACATAAGTCTAGGAAACTAGTTTTTAGCTTTGTTCTTTTTATTGAGAATTTAAGAATTATAAAAGTTTTTTTAGGTAAAATTTGAAGAAATTTTGATTAATAAATTATTTAATGAAATGGCTTTAAATTATTGGTTGGAGAAGATGACATAATAGTTTTGAAATTTACTATTGGTTAATTATTTTTGCTGATGTGGCATATTATCTTATTCTTATTGGTTAGTTTTTTATAATTTAACGATGTGGCAATTTGTTATATTCTTATTGGCTGATTATTTTTACCTATGTGACACCTCTTAGAGAGCAGGAAATCTATCATTTTTATATAAAGGAGACTAGTGTTTTGTCCACACTACGCGTGGATTGTATAATTATATTGTAGTTTTATAAAAGGTTGTCAATTAATTTTGTGTTTAATATTGTGATAAATTATAGAGTAGTATATTTGCATGTAATTCTTAGATATAGTCGAGCAAAGTAAATATCAGAAGGATGTATATGTGAAAAGATGATCAAAATTTTTTGTATAATAATTTGAAAGTAGACTAATGTATCTTTTGGCTTAGTTAAACTTTTTTTAAGAGGTAATGCATGTTTTTGCATATATGAAGAGTAAAGTTTGACCTTTTTGTATAATAATTTGATGTGTAATTTTATTATATTTTTTATTTATGTAAATAGTATCCACATGAACTATATATTGTATTAGAAATCTATTGTCTAAATTTGGACATCTTGTGTTATAATGCTATTTCTTTAGTGAACACCATGAGTATTTTTTATACTTTCAAAAACTTTTTGTATAAGCTTCCCTTTCGTTTGATGCTTTTAAAAAGAAAAACTCAATCCTTACTCCATTTTTGTTTCATATTTTATCTTAAGATTTTGTTTTTAATTTTCATATAATATGCATTTCTCTACTTATCAATTTTTTTAAAAGATTCAGTCTGTACATAGATATTTTATAATTAGTTCATATATTCAACGAAGAAAGCAAACGGCAATTAATAATAAAAAATTTTATTATATGAGTTTCTTATTAATTGATATAATATTTGTTTGATAGTTTAGCTAGCTCAGTCATTTGCCAATATTGGTGAAGAATGTGGAATTTATCGTTATATGTTATTTGAAAAAAAAATCTTTTCAGTTTTATGTTTTATGAAATTTTGCAGATGAAAATTAAGAAACGGTGAGTAACTGTCTTTAATCACCGGTGCTTTAGTTAGGTTTTTTACTTCAGTTCTTCCACAATACCGGATTACAACGAACAATATGGAACTCTATATCAGCTTTAGAAACTTGAAATCTATTATAAGTCAAAAAAATTTACAATTGTATATATTAATTTTCTCTAGAAGAAAGAAAACTGAGTCACTCCTTAAGTTTTACTTTTGACGAGAAAGACGTTCTCCAGTTCCAACAATACTATGATTGAGACTCATTCTACTTGATTCACATTATAAATATAAATGCAAAATAGTTGTGAGATTGTATTTTTATGTTGCTTACAAAAATCTCAAGCATGAGACATATTAGACTTCATTTGTGATAGAGTTGTGTATTATTTATATCATATGTGGCTCATCACTATGTCTTTTTTTTGACATCCTCATTGCTATGTCTTTTGGATTTCTAAATGTTTATGCTCCACTTATTTAAGTTTTATTATTTATTACCAGTTTGGTTGTCATTAATTAAAAAGTAAAATTTGTGTTTAGTGACTGCTGATTCCGTTTCTGGTGAGTTAGAGGCAAGATGATTGGAAACTCGAGAAGACGATGACTCCATCAAATGAGCTTTTGTTTAAGCTTTATAATTGAGTTTTAGTGTAATTCGTTTTCAGTTTTTTTTAGCTTTGTTTTTTATTTAATTTTATTGAGAATTTAAGAATTACAAAAAAAATCTGTAGGTAAAATTTGAGGAAACATTGATTAATAAATTATTTAATGAAATAACTTTAAATTATTGGTTGAAAAAAATGACATAGCAGTTTTGGAATCTACCATTGGTTAATTATTTTTGCTGATGTGGCAGCCCTTAGAAGCTTAGAAATCTATCTCTTTTATATAAAGGAGATAGTTTTAATTTTATAGATATAATTGTATGAAAAAAATTGTTGTAAAAGTGAGTATTAATTATTATTATGTTTTAATTGTTGTTGTATTATGTTTTAATTGTTGTTGTATTCACTTGTTATACAGAGAGTGTAAATTTAAAACCGACGAATAGAAACTAAATTTTGCATCCATGATTACACTTAGACGTGCCTCTAGCTACATGATCAAATCCAAGTGGTGAAAATGACAGCCCCCATCTTCCTTCAGAGTGAAAACAAAAGATATATAAACGTATTTGAAACTTATTTTGAACTCTTAAACAATCATTATTGGTTCTGCAAAATTTCAGATTTAGGTCAAATGATTAGTAACTTTTGACTGAGTGTATTTTGAGAAAGTGATCGATCATACATCTTGAAAATTCATTAGATCCCACTGAATAAAATTTCTCTATGTTTAAACCATTGATTACCTTCTATAATATGCAAACTAGATATGTATTGCCAATGTTGTGACCAAACATCATAATAAATTATTTTTGATGACTAGCAAATATTTTGACTTAAAACGCTCAATTAGAAGATATGATTAAAGCTATAAATAGATTTAAGCTCAACATTGAAATGTAAATATATCAACAAACAAAATAAACACAGAAGAAAAAAGAAAAAAGAAATGGCTAAGTTCATTGCTGTCTTTATTGTAGTCGCCTTTTTGTTTGCTACTCAGTTTTCTAATGTAAATTTGTTAATAACTTTATTCCATTCTACTAATTTTTGAATCGATCAGACTAATTCATGTAGTTTGTTTTTTTGTTTTACCTTTTTCTCAGGCAAAAGAATTACAAAATCCTTTGGAGCCAATCCACACAGTATTCACAAAATTTTAAAAATTAATAGAAAAATAAATATAGTAGAAATAAGAGAAATGTACTTATCATTTTTATTATTACAAATTTATTTTGCAGCAAGGAGGAGAGGGTTCACTTAAAGTTGGAGGTAATATTTTTGTTTTTTAAATGTCTTATTTCTTGATAAAATATATACATATCGAACAAATTATTAATTTCTTAATTTATTCATGCAACTATTTGTGGGAGTGAAGAGTGTCCAGCAGCATGTAATGTTCGATGTTCAGCAACATCTCACAAGAGTGCATGTTTGATGTATTGCAACCAATGTTGCAATAAATGTTTGTGTGTACCATCGGGAACATATGGTCACAAAGAAGAATGTCCTTGTTACAACAACTGGAAAACTCAAGAAGGTGGATCAAAATGTCCTTAATTATCATAATATTATAGAAGAAAATGTTCTTTTTGTTTTTGTTTTGATGAAGTCTAATGTATACACCCTATCATAGTGGTGATTGTGATAGTTGAAATAAAATAACTTTTAAAGTTTTTTTTAATATAAAGAAAATAACATTATTTTGCTCTTTTCTTTTTAAGCGAATTGTAACTTTGAATTTCTTCAACTTGACATAACCAAGTTGAGTTTGCGTTTGTTTGTTTCAACTTTCAAGCCCTCTCTCTAACTTTGAATTTGAGTTAAATCACAATAAAGGCTCCGGTCTGTCACAGTAAACCGAAGAAAACCAAAATCACGCATTAAAAGAAAGAATCAGAATAATCAAGAACTTAAACCGAAATTTAAACCAATTTCACACAAACTGAATAACCAAACATAACCGAACCAAACCGATAAAGAATCCAGAAACTACGATTAGTCGATTATGGGGAAAAGGAGAGTCGCACGATGAATGCGTTTGTGACATATAAATAAATAATATTCTATCAATCTTCTTCCTTCTCTGGCTTTTGGCTTCTGCAACGGAGATCTCTCCGGATCTATCTGCTACGCCGATTTCTCTGCTAAGCTCACCATGACTCATATCCTTGTCGAATCGTTTCAATTTTCTCTTTTGTTCCAATCGTTTCTTATACCTTCGATTGATTGTTTCTTTCGTAACTTCTTGATTATTCGGCTCCACAAATCATCTGTCTTGTAAAAAGGGGTTAGCGTGTTCTACAAGGCTGAAAAAACCTAAAAATTTGTCGAATTTTAGGGCTCTGATAGATAAGCAATTGTCATTGGTTTCTCCGTGTGAAATCGCTTTGGATCTTATTAATTCCCATTAGCTGATTTTTGAAGTTTGACAAAGGCGAGAAGCTTTTGGATGCGCCATCTTCTCGAGTTCTATGCAGATCTGATCTTGAGAGTGATGATGATATTCTCAGGGGGTTTGCTAGTTTGTGTATTTTTTTTAATCGATTTGATCGCCTTTTTGCTAGAACCATATTAGCTTCTTTTGTTTTCTTTGATTTTTGCTTTTGTTCTGATTGGCGATTTGCACGAGGAAGTCAAAGAGAACGAGACCGTGAAAGGGCTCAAGCTCGTACCGGAGGTAAAGGAAAGAACAAAGACGACGGTTTAACTCCGGAGCAACGCCGTGAAAGGTAAAAACCTATATATTCGTGTTTTCCTCTTGAATACAACTAATTATCATGTGAGGGAGAGATTAATCAACAGATTCCTCTATGGTTTAGGGATGCAAAAGCATTACAAGAGAAAGCAGCAAAGAAAGCTGCTCAAGCTGCAGGAGCAGCGGCTACTTCCGAAGCAGGCAAAGGAAACAATAACAAGAAATGATATATTTATGTTTAACTTCTTTCTTTCGAAATCGGCATTATTGTATCTGTGTTTAACATTGCTTTTGAATGTGAAAGTTTGCTGTTTGTGGTGAGATGTTATATTTTTACTGCTCTCGTTTAATGGAATGCACTACTTTCGATTGGACAACGACACTTTAAGCATCGATGTGTGTTAATTTACCTTTGGGAAAAACATTACAAGTATATTTGTCTAAATTCTTGTTCTTACTTGCTTCTTGACTTCTTAAAAGTTTGTTTGTAAGAGTAGTGAAATGGATGTAATAATAGATTTGAGATTTAATTTTGCAGTAAATGTTTCTTCTTCTTTTGGTTTTATGGTCAGCATCGTTGATGTCATTTTCATCATTTGTGTTCTAAAATTTGGTTTGGATGAGTGGTTTTCTATAGCCATGTTCTCACTATTTGCAACAAATCGGTGACAAAGATATATTACCAGATCTCATGTTGGTAACTTCTTACGGGGTTACACTTTTTATTTTTATGATTCAAAGACAAGGAAGGATTTTTCAGAGTTTATTTTGGCCTAAAATATAATATAACTTCAAATTCTTATAGCATTGATACTACAAAGTTGCAATCCCAATTTAAAAATATGCTAGAAAAATAGTCAAGATTTGGATTAGAGTCTTACTATATACCATATGTTGGAACTTTTCATGGTCGAAGATCTCCAATAGGTAAATTTGTTCAGATTTGTTGACAATATGATATTTGTGCATATGCGGGAGTTTTCAACCAGAGAAGACTCTGCATTGTAAATAGCGATGAGATAATGAGACTGTTATGAACAGAACTCCAAACCCACTTGTAAAACGATACACCAATATCTGAATTACAAATCTGCTATAGATTGATAAATCCAATCTGTGCTAATACGATCTCCAGATCACTATTGAAGAATTCTAAATTCTGTCAATTCCTAGAAACTCAACAAGAAAATACATAATCCTATCTTTCGAAGACGAGAGTCTATTTATACTATAACAGTAAAACTCTCTATCACAGTTAGAGTTTTTGCTCTTCAGGCTATATCAATACCCGCCCCAATAACACGAAGCTTGTCCTCAAGTTCGGAATCTGACTCATGTCCCCTGCCTTTAGTTATTGTTAGTCGCTCTTACTTCTCCACTTATGCTTCATGTGAAACTTTACAGCACCAAGTAGCTTCCTCCCAAGCAATGCAACGATGTCACTCAAACACGGATGATTGTACTTGTAATTACCTTTGTCAATAAGATGATTTATAGCTCGTGATAGTACTTGATGGTGCCTCAACTTCACTGTAGTCATGAATCTTTGTAAAATTTTGGTTTTGAACTTGAACCACCAATTCTTGGTGAAGTTCCTCTTTTTTAGCTTTGTTTTGTCAATCGGATCAGCTTGCATTCTAGGAACTGCATCAATCCCGTTACCGAGTTCATGTAGCCTCAACCACAAAATAGGCGTTGCATATTGATGTTCCCATTTAACAGGCTGTGAAGAGTGAATTACTGCTGCGACATTTGTACTTCCAGCATGAATATCAATGGCATTAGTTGCAGCCATAGTCCCATAAATAAGTCTCACTAAGCCCTCTCTGCTGCTGCACTTAAAACGCATCAAACTCAACAACATAAGTTTCAAAGATGTCTGGAATGTCGCAGTGTTGTTCTTCCAACGGTGCCACACATAAAGATCAGTGTGTGTAATCTCCTTGTGTTTCAAACAATGCCATGCAGCAACCTCTTTTTCATGAAAGATATATCGCTGCAACAACTGTTGCCTTGTCCCCCGCTTGAAAAACATTTGGTCATGCCGCCTTTTGTATTTAAACCTCTAGGACGTTGGAGATGTCCTTAGCTTCCTCTTATGTTTCTGTCCTCTAAGAAGCTTATTATTCAACGACTGCGATGGCCACTTCTGCTTCTGATGTCTAGTTCTTAGGGTCTCTCTCCCGTAATACAGAATGTCAAACACCCTATATGTATCACAATACAACGTGAAAACATACAAAATCGGACACATCTCAACCGTTTTTTCAAAGGCAATCTCGGTAATGAACTTGAATGGCAACATATATCTCCCTAGCGAAGAGTCCATAACATCAATTCGGATTAGCCACCTCACCATTGAAACATAACTCCCATATATCACCTGTAGATCTGCATTCATGGAATCTGTAAACTGAGAAGGATGATATGACGTGAGGTCTGGAAATATTTGTAATTGCTTAAACCTCCATTTGTGTTTCATGTGAAACGTCATATCAACAAGAATTAGCCATCTCCATGAATCAAGCAGTTCCACTTTCACTGGTGATAACCAGCGTGAACCCTTAACCTCTTGAATCTTTGACTTCTCTTTGAACTTGAAATTCCTTGGTTTAAAGAAAATCCTCTGTTTTCTTTTAGTTTTAAGTTGTTCAGTCTCGTGATACACAATCTCAAACCGAGACATCTCCCCCTTTTCGTCCACTGATACACAATCAACAGATGGTTCCAGAAGCTCTTTCCCTATTGGTGAAACTATCTTCCTCGCCAATTCTGTCTCATGAACAACATTCATCCTAGGCTAAACAAAGTCTTTCTTTTGCCACGCTTCTCCCTCTTGAAAAGATGGTTTTATCTCTGGAATAGCTGCAGTGGCTTGATTTGATATATTCGCTGTACTAGATTCTGCTTCCTGAACAACATTCCTCTTTGAAATCGACTCAGACTTCAATTTCACCTCTGATGGCAAATGAGGTTTAACTGTACCAAATCGTGCAATCAATCTTTTCTTGAACTGTAACCAATCTCTAAAAGGTTCAGTTTCTATTTCTCAATTGAACCAATTCAGCACATGGTCCTCAAGACTGACTGAAACAAATTGAAGACGTGCTTCACCAACATAATTATCCAACCTGAAAGATCTCTCCATTCTAGCAATCCAACTATATGGATGTGATCCATCAAACAACGGCATTTTAACTTTCTGCAATAAGCTATCGTGATTCTCTAAAGCATGAACCATTGGCCGATAAACTATCGTTGGATCAGCTCCATCAGATTTCAAGAGAGTACTAGGTACCTGAGATAGATCAGTCGAAAATGTCGCCACTGCCTTGCCTTGCGATTTCTCCATGCGCGACAACACAAGAGACATCTTTTGGATATTGCGATCCATCGTATCAAACCTCTGATCCAAAGAATCGAGTCGAGTCTCAATCGCCAAGAATCGTGTCTGTGAAAGGGTGTGCTCACGAGTCAAACGCGCCCATCCTTTTTTGATTGTTGTAACTTGTGGAGCTATATCCTGCACCGTCACTTGCAATGCACTCTCGAGCTGTTTCGATTCATCCACAGAAACCATTTCGAAGCTTCGATCTAGTCACCGCACCAATTTGTTATGAACAAAACTCCAAACTCCTTTATTCACTTGTAAAATGATACACCAATATCTGAATTACAAATCTGCTACAGATTGATAAATCCAATATGTGCTAATACGATCCCCAGATCGCTATTGAAGAACTCCAAGTTCTATCAATTCCTAGAAACTCAACAAGAAAATGCATAATCCTATTTTTCGAAGACGAGAGTCTATTTATACTATAATAGCAAACCCTCTATCACAGTTAGAGTCTTTGCTCTTTAGGCTATATCAATACCCGCCCCAATAACACGAAGCTTGCCCTCAAGTTCGGAATCTGAATCAACGTGAAAACATACAAAATCGGACACATCTCAACCGTCTTTTCAAAGGCAATCTCGGTAATGAACTTGAATGGCAACA